GTTTAACTGAAACAGCAAGAGGTTTTTATTTTTGTTTTGATAAAAGGTGTATGAAAGATATGCTTTTATCTCCTTTCTATTTATCTCCTCTCTATTTTTCTAATGAGCATTGATAGTTTTATTGTTTCACTAGAAAAAATAACATTCTTTAAAAGAGCACTTTTAAAAAAGCATTCAAGGAAAAAAAGTTGTCAGGGATAAAGAAGGGCACCACATAATGATAAAGGAGCCAATTCTCCAAGAAGACATAATAATCTTTAATGTGTATGCACCTAATAAGAATATCAAACTGTGTGAGGCAAAAACTGATAGAACTGCAAGAAGAAACAAATGAATCCACTATCACAGATGGAGACTTCAACACTCCTCTATCAGAAATAGACAGACCCAACAGACAGAAAACCGGTAAGGAAATAGTTGAACTCAACAACACCATTGATCAAGTAGATATAATTGACATCTATAAATTACTTCATTTACAGCAGAATACACATTTTTCTAAAATTCACATGGATGGGGGCGCCTGGGTGGCTCAGTTGTTAAGCGACTGCCTTCGGCTCAGGTCCTGATCCCAGGGTCCTGGGATCGAGCCCCGCATCAGGCTCCCTGCTCGGCGGGAAGCCTGCTTCTCCCTCTCCCACTCCCCCTGCTTGTGTTCCCTCTCTCGCTGTGTCTCTCTCTGTCAAATAAATAAATAAAATCTTAAAAAAAAAAAAAACAACTGTGCCCTTTAAAAAAAAAAATTCACATGGATGATTCAAGAAGATAGATTATATTCTGGGCCATAAAACACATCTTAACAAATTTAAAGGAATAGAAATCATATTACAATGTCTGCTCTCAGACCACAGTGCAATTAAACTAGAAGTCAATTACAGAAAGATAACTGGAAAATCTCAAAATATGTGTAGATTAATAACACACTTCCAAATGACACATAGGGCAAAGATGAAATCTCCAGAGAAAAAAATATTTTTGTACTATGTGAAAGTGAAGACACCACTTACAAAAATTTAAACTATTTAAACTTTAAATACAGTGAAAGCTGTGCTTAGGGGTAAATTTATAGCATTGACTGCATGTATTAAAAAAAGAAGAAAGATTTAAAGTCAATCTCAGTTTCTACCTTAAGAAACTAGAAAAAAAAGAGCAAATTAAATTCAAAATAAGTAGAAGAACAAGAATTAGAACATACTATAACATTATGTCAACAATACTTCAATAAAAAAAGATTTAGTGCATAAACCAGTAAAATTGAAAATAGAAAAAGACAA